CCCTGGCGGCCCTGGGGGATATAAGGGCAGGACCTGGCGGGTGCCCCAGCCATGGGCCTGGCCACAGGCTCAGCTGGGTTCTGCCTGCACAATGGGGAAAACCCTGGTCGCTCTGCTCCTCGCCCTGGCTCTGGTGACCCCTGGTGCCGCCGTGACGCTTGGCACCGCTGCGCCGAAGGGAAGCTGGGGGGCTGGCTCCAGGGCTGAGTCTCCCAGTGATTTCAGCTCCCAGCCAGCGGGGGAGAAACCCAGCTCCAGCCCCACTGGTGCAGGGAAGAGGCTCCTCATGAAGCCTGTTTAGCCCTGTTCATTGGGCAAGTCCCCTACAAAGGGGGCTGGGGCGGGTCCCTCACCTCCCCCTTGCTGGGCTGCTCACCTCTCCCAGCCCTGACTATCCGGCAAATCGGCGCAAACCAGGCACCTGCTGCACTGACAGACGCCAGGTCTCTCCCCGCCCAGCCAGCCTCCGGACGCTGCCTGCAGCCCCTGCTCACGTCACGATTACCCAGGGTGTGAACCCAGGGCTGTTGCACCCCGAGGGCTCCGCTGGGGCAGGGAGAGGGGCCATCGCTGCCAGGGGCTGGCCACTGAGCGAGAGACAGGCCTGTGAGCGGTAGCAGAGCTCGTCTCCAGCCCCGTTAGCTGCATTTCGGGTGGTGCCCCCCGTCAGGAAGGGGAGGCGTGGGGGGGAGGGGCGCTTTCCGGGAGCTCAGGAAGCAGAGACCAGCCAACACTTTGTGGCTCCTCTCCGGCTCTGTGGTCTGGGCTCGCGGGTCCCAGGCTCGGCTGAGCACCTGACCCGGCCATGTGTGGGCTGACCAGGCGCCTCCCTTTCCAGTGCGTCCTGTCCGGCTCCTGGAAGAGCAGCCTGGGCTGCAAGATGATCATCTCTGGGCTCAGCGAGACTGGGGAGTTCTCAGGCTCCTACCTCCCTGCCACCATGGCCCCCAGGGCGGGCGTCTTGCTCTCGCCCCTGCACGGAGTCCAGCACGACGCCAACCGGCAAGAGCAGCCCACCTTCGGCTTCACTGTGAAGTGCAGGGTTTGGGGGGGGTGGCTCCTCCCTCCCTGCCACCATGGCCCCCAGGGCGGGCGTCTTGCTCTCGCCCCTGCACGGAGTCCAGCACGACGCCAACCGGCAAGAGCAGCCCACCTTCGGCTTCACTGTGAAGTGGCGGTTTAGGGGTGTGTGGCCTGTGGGGGGTGGGCAGGCATGAGGGGAGGGCCAGCTGGCAGACCCTGGGCTCTCATTCCCCACTGTGGGGCAGGGCTGGTCTCCAGGGGTGTGGAGGGGGTCAGGCGTGAGGGGAGGGTCAGCAGGACAGGGGTGGCT